AAAGGTGCGCTGTTGGGCAGGCCAAGTGAGCCAGTGCAGGGTTTCAGATCTTGCTTTGCAGCATGTTTAGCTTTGACATTCGTTGCTAGCCAGGTGAACCTGCTAGCTGTGCAAGCCCTGCTCCTTTGTTTGACACACAGGGTGAAATGTATTGATTGATTGCGATTTGTTTTTCATGTTTGAGTGGGCTTCAAATGAAACCACTTGACTATCAACTGGTCAATCCAAGCTTGTCAGTGGGATGCAATGTAGCTGCAGCGTAGTTGAATTCGTTTGATCTGCCGCCTGCACGAGTTTCTTTATGCCACCTCAGAACCTGTTGCCCTCCAAATCCCGCATGATGTGGTGGCTTTTGTTGATAGCGTCTTGTTCCTCCGGCCATCCCACAACTGGCTGGAATGAGCCGCAACCCCCCAAGAACATGGCCTTCTGCCGGGCTCCGAAATTTGCTAGAATTTCTCAAGCGCCAGGAAGGGAGTGTGCTGATGGCTCACACCTCAGTCTCAGAGCGCTGCCTGTGTTGAAGAATGCCGATGGGCCCAACATGCGATAGATTTGGCCCCTGGATAAAGTTGGTGCGTGCTAGAAAGAATGATGACTTGTTTAATCCGCCGTTGGCCAAGCCAAGTGCGATTGCTTGTTCAAGCATAGCAACTTTTGAGGCAGGGATTGGGCAAACCTGTTGTGATTCTCGTTTTCCGAGTTTCGAAGTGCCCCTGATGTGAACTAATCATGGCAGCTTAGGTTTGTTATATTTCACCGAATTTCCTGACCTCCAAATGCAGCAGGCGGCAGTTTGACCAGCCAAAGCTGCGGTATTTTGGGGTACCGTTAGTGTTGGAGCTTAGGCACCGCGGCCCAGCCCCAGCTCAGGAGTTGATGCCACACATGCAGGTGCTGCACACTCAGCTATGTCGAGGCAGGGCGCCCAACCTTTTTTTCGAGCGGAAAAGATTGGTCCCTGACCATGCAAGTGGAGAAGCTGCAGGTGGACTATATTTCTTGCAGCGCCTCCCGTGCAATTCACGTGGGAGTCCAGAGTTAAGTGTCCGGACTTCACCTCAACAGTCACAGGTGCAAGCGGTCTCAATGGAAAACCATGCTCTCAAGAAAACCAGCTAAAAAGATGGCATTTTCCCGCCAGACAATCAGCCTTCTGGGTAACAGGGTACCTAGTTCTTGCAGCACGTTCTCATCATTGAATTGGCCATGGTTGGCTGTTGGCTGATTGTCAGCTAAGTGCAGGTTCCTGTTTCATACCTGGACCCTCCAGCTGCGCCTTTTTTTCGGCCCTTTCGCGACGAGGCAGACATTTGTGCCGTTTCGTTGAAAAGGCGTTGCTTCGTGCCAAAAAGGGTCCTTTCATTGTGCTGCGGCAAACCTGGTTGGGGGAAGCCATTTCGTCGCGAAAAGTCGCCTTTTGGTCGCACGAAGTCACCAATGCGAAAAGTGCTCCGAGGCACAACAAATACACCACTTGCCCCAAAAATCAGGTTTCGTCAAAAAGTAAGAACAAGACAAACTCCCTTGGAAGGTCTAGGTATACAGCTCCCGAGTTTGGCTCGGGCTTTTCCCCACGGCTCAGCTGCCTGATTTCTGTGGTGGTGACTTACCATCCGAACCATTTGCCTAGGCAGCCAGCTCACCTGGAACCTTACACCCATGTATGCGCCGGATGCTCGGAATGATTCTCAGCAGACTGTGGGCTGCACTGCCTATGTTAGAGGTCAATATGCAGTCAGTTCTCCAAATACCATCAGAGCCGGCCAAGCTAGTGGGCGGACGTTTCAAAAATTTAAAAACCATAGTTATGTTTCTCTTTCTTGTCTTGATGCTTCTTCTCTTCATCTGCCTTTTCACTGTTTCTTATTTTTCTTCGTCATTCTCTCTTTCTTTCGTTCTGTCCTGCCTTCCTCCCTTCTTTCTTTCTTTATTTCTTTCTTTCTTTGTTTTCGTTATTGTCTGTATTTTCTTTCTTTATATGTTCTTATTATTTTACGCCGTTCCTTCTTTTGTCTCTTCCCCAACTATCTATCTATCACTCTATCTATTTTCTTTATTTTCTCTATCTATCTATCTATCTATCTATCTATCTATCTATCTATCTATCTATCTATTTGCCTACCTCTCTCTCCAGCTATCTATCTGTCTATGTGTTTATCTATTGACCTATCTACATATCTATCCATCTATCTATCTGTCTATCCATCTCTCTCTCTCTCTCTCTCTCTCTCTCTCTTTCTGCACCTAACCTTGCAAAAGTGCTGCACCTGCCACGAAATCTGTACTTGACCTTGCGAAAGTGCCGCGCCTGCCACGAAAACTGCACCTCGCCTTGCGAAAGTGCAGCGCCTGCCACGCAATTAAAACCTCAAGAAAACTTGGCCTTGCGAAAGTGCTGCGCCTGCCACGGAATTCAAATCCTTGCGAAACCTTCGCCTTGCCGTGCCAGTGGGCCCGCGCTCCGAACGTGTTCCGAGACCGCTCCGAACGTTGTCCGAGCATGAGCCGAACGCAGTCCGACCAGGCGCCGCGAACAAGCTAGCTTTCAGCCCTCCGGACACGCCAATTCACGTGCAGGACCACGCTTTTTGCACATTTCTATTCTCCCACCACACACGCACATTTTTTCTCGTGTGGTTATTCCTTCTCTTGTCATCTGTCTCAGAGAGCTAGCTGTCAATTAGTTGCCGTAACGCGGAAGTTCCTTCTAAACTTCCTTTGATAACAAGTAGCTTGTTGCGAATGGCTTGGAATATGCCGGACATCTACCGTGATTTTCATTTTTGGTAGAAGCCGCAGCAAAGCTCGCTGCCCTGGCATTTCAATCAGCCGGTCATCACAAAGAGCCGCGAAACTATCCGGTGTTGAAGAAAGCGATGTGGCGACACCGATGCAAACGTTTGCAAAACCTGCAGCATATTTATGCAGCATTGACTCGAGCTGAGAATTAGGGCCAAAGCCATGGAGTCGACCTCATTGTCCTCGGTAAAACGATGTGGCGTTTGGACAATGCTCACAGCTGCAGTCACAATCGCACGGCCGTAGCTTCAAACAACTACCTGTAAGAACTGTACTTCCCTTCACAAATCCTGTCTTGCATCCACATTGGGGGTAGCATTCGCCCCGCCATGCTATCATGTGTCGCTTGCGCGGCTGTGCATTTGTCAGCCAGCGGCCTCCGTGTTGCGGTTTGCAGAGTAGTGGGATGATTTCTCACGGGGCCTTCTCTGTGAGTCAGTTGAAAGCATTGGTTTAGCTGGACTTGCGCAAGAGTGGCAGTTATGCAGGTATGGCGGGCTTGCTCAGTTGGCCGGGCTGCGGGCTCAGGGCTGTTGAAGCGCAACGAAGCGAAAGAAGGAGAGAGACTTGCCTGGCCACTGCTTCGGCTGGGTCCTCCCAAAAGAATCCGGATTGGCCGCCTTCTGCGGGGACGGGACTGCCAAGAAAACGTACTGGTAAAGCTGGCGCTGTTTCCTGAAAGATAGCTTTTGGCGATGTGCCCGTTCGGGGTGCTGAGGCTGCACCACATGTGCATTCTAGGCACGGCCGGATGGAGTGAGTTTGGGTTGCCCTGCTTTGACCGTCCGCTTTTCAGCCCGCTGTATTCACATTCCACTCTCTTTTGATTTGACGGGCCAACAGAAAGTAGTGTGTTTCTTGGTGCTCTTGATTTGTTGATCCTTCCCGTTCCTTCCCGTTGATGTCAAATCAAGTGAACAGCTTGAAGCGCATGAGTGTCGAGACTTCAAACAGCCAATGATTGCCTTCAGCTCTGCATGCCTTGGCCCAGAAGTGACCAAGGCCCAGGAACTGTGGCCAACAGCATGTTGTGCAAAACGGAAGATGTTGTGCTAGTGCAACTTTGCAGTGCTTGCTTCAGAGAGGTGCGACATGGTGCAACAATGTGTTTTTCAGCACTGACAAGTTCAGCATCGCAGTTCGATGTGGTTGCCATTTGTCACACATGTCCGCAATCAAGTTTAATGATATGATGGTCATTTGGAGGAAGTTGGGAAATTTGTGTTTGGTTGTGGTATGCTTACGTAGGTGTCCTTGACGGCAAGCACGCAACTTTCAGGCGCCCAGCGCGCACTGGGGAGTGAACAATGAATACCGCTGAGAGTCCAATGATGCTGACAGACGCTTCATGGCAACAATAAGCTTGATCTCTAAAAGCAAACCGTTGGGAGACATTTTGGGCTGCATGCTACGTACGTGCTGATTGAAGGCACCGGATCTCGGCAAAGGCTTTTTGCGGTCCAATCGCCGTCTCGGAAGGCCTTCCTGACCCCTCCGCAGAAAGAGCCAGGCCGGGTGAAGCGAAGAGCTCGCCTTCGCCCCGAGTCCAGCACTGGCTTGGGAATCCCTGTTAGGGTTTTGGGACGCCGTTGACACTATTGGATGGTTGAATTTCAGCGATGTCATGGGTATTTGAGCAGGGTGATGTTTCAAGGGGGGTCGTGGCGAATGAGAACCTTGTGCAAAGTTTGCTTGGGTCAAAGTCACCAGGCATGCGCAAGGCACGGAAGTCCAAGAAGGTCTTGGAAAGCACAGTTTGACAACTCAACTGCTTGTTGGATCCGTTTGGCGGAAGGACTCACACTGGACTGACTGTGCACTGCGAAGCGTTTAAACACGCTCAGCATTATTTGTTATCAACCTAGAAAATGTGAGAGCTCATGCAGACTCACTTTTCCGGCATTCTTGCGTACAAGTTCGCAGATTCTCTTCCGCCTGGTTGAGTCCTCACTTCAATGCTTCCACAGCCAGAAATTGGGCCCGCCTTTCCATACCCAAAGGCCATTTTCTGGCCGAACACATTGTCACTTCTATTCGACAGCTGTGCATGTTTCTGCACCTGGCCGAAATCAGAGCGCCAACCAGAGGCCCGAAATCACAGTAGTACCTGCCGGGGCTGGTGGCTGGCAGGCCTTCCTTGGGGCTGGAGCTGAACACTTGGTGGTCCTCTCCCATCTTCGCGCCAGCCTCAGAGCGCC